GCACAGCAGTATCGTGAGCTCGGTACAAACCTCCAAACGTGGTCTACGTCGACCCAATGAGCGTACCGCAGCCCAGAACTACTCACGCTACCTTGCCACGACCCGCAGCTATCGTTAGAGCCGTCGATGACCTCAATCGGACCTGTGCCAGCCGACATGTGCTTACCCACGGGTTAACGGTGGTGCCGCAGGGTGGTGTCGTAGATAAGGTTAACTACGACATCACCCGCATCTCGGCGCACAGAGCGCGAATCAACGTAAAACCGACTCGAATGGGTTCACACCACCCTCAGCTATCGTGCAAGCCGTTACTTGGCTAGATCAGCCCGGTGGTTGCGGGGATACGATCACCCACTGGGGTCCGGCCGCCCCGAGCCTGGTATCGTTGTTAAGCGCTTAACTACAACACCACTCATTTCTTCGACCAAAGGCCACGACTCGACGCCAAACCATTTGCGCTGTGTTGCTAGAGGTAGCGGGCGTCGTTGGAGCTGTTGTGGGGTGAAATTCTTCGGGTGAACACATACCGGGTGAGGGAACGCATGTAGAGCTTGTTGTTAGCGCAAAGGAAATATGGGGGGGCCCGCACGAATAGCAGACGTGGTACGCCAAATAGATTCCGTTCTTTTCTCGTTCTCGACATATCTGCGCCCCACGCTGTCAAGCAACGTCCTCATGGACACGGAGTGTAGGGTGTCAACAGTGTCCGCTCGCAATGTGGAGATTGACGTGAATCATGCGAGGGAGGTAGATAAGAGCAGTGCGGGTGCTCCCAGGAAGTCGGGAGGGCGGGGCGGGGCCGACAAGACAGGCAGGTCGGGAGTGGATGAGGGGTCGGAGCCTGGGGAGGGCAGAGGGGGCAGGAAGTCAGATGGGCAGAAAAGGTCGGGGCGTCNCATGCGAGGGAGGTAGATAAGAGCAGTGCGGGTGCTCCCAGGAAGTCGGGTGGGCGGGGCGGGGCCGACAAGAATGGCAGGTCGGGAGTGGATGAGGGGTCGGAGCCCGGGGAGGGCAGAGGGGGCAGGAAGTCAGATGGGCAGAAAAGGTCGGGGCGTCAAAAGGAAACAGCGAAGGGGAGCAGCAGGAAGGGCGGGCGCTTTACCGACGATGAGGATCCGGACGGGAAATCGAGCGGAGGTCAACGAGGCAAGGATAAAAAGGTGAGACAGGCTTGCTACGGTCACCAACTTTGAATGGCAAGTGATGGAGGCACACGGTAATGCCGCTGCGATGCCGTATGATACACCCATTGTCATCCGAGCGCGTCTTGTTTCGACGCAAGGGGGAGGGGGAATGCTGTCGACCATTGTTGATGGCGTTGTGGTTGTGTCCATTTCCCCGCTTTGTTGGTGTGCAGAGGAAGAAGGTGGCCGACCCTGATGAAGACGAGGATTCCGACGATCTTGCCTCCGATTATGAAAACCTTGCCTCCGACTATGAAGAGGACCACGATGATGAAGACGGCCGCGATGACGAAGCCGACAGCAATGATGAAGACGACCAACAAGGCGGGATCAAGAAGGTGATTAAGAAGGTAAGCCCGGCTTGCGGCGGCCCGAACGTTTGCACTCGGAATGGACCAGGCAATACCAGTCCCGACAACGTATTTGGTCGGCTTGAGGTCTCTGAGCTTCGTCTGAGCTTGTGATTGGACTGCGCAATCTCGCGGCCCTTTGATGCGTGGTGTATGCAGGAGCAGGAATGTGCCAGC